AACTAACTAATGTCCTATAATGTAGTCATTTAATCCTCTGAAAATTAATGGGTAAACTTAGCCAGGTTTCTTTTTTATTGGATTATTTATCTAGCAAGGATGTTTCTTTTTAAACTTTTCTATAGTGATTTAAAAGAAGAAAAAACACATGCCAGTTATGGTAGGGCTTTGGAAGCAGTGTTTGCTTTAGAACAACCCTCACCGACAACGCCTATTTCATCATTGGAATATACGTGTAAACTGCGTGAAACAATATGCGTAAGCAATTTTTTGTTTGCAGGCTAGAAATTGTGTTTCCAACTGAGCTGCATGGCTTCAAATGCTATAGAAGTCAAACAAAATTATAAACTTTGAAGGGTATTTCACACCTCCACGGTCAAGCGGCTGTTTGTAGTCTATGGAAATTGCACTTGAGTCAAAATCATATGCTAGTGACCTGTCCATCTTCATGCAAATTATTGCATTTTTTGGTTTCCCTTTCATCTTACTAGAGACGAATCCAACAATATTCACCAGTGACTCCTCTGAACCTTCCGAAACCAATAATACACAGTCTTTTGGGTTTATATAAAAAAGAAAAGAAATCCATTGTTTACGTCCAGCTGAACAGCAACAGTAATTATATCATTCCTATTTTCACCTTTATTGCTGCTAGGAAACTTAGAGAGGTCACAAATAAGAAAATCTTCATAAGGTGACGAGGACATACTTAACAGTGAGTAAACTTTTTAGTTTCTTTTCAGCTTCTTAAACTTGCTGAACAGATACTAGATAGTTTATTCTTAATAACTAGCGATATTCGATATTCGCCAAACCGAGCTTTTAAATTGTCAATCTGCAGTTTTTCAAGAAATGTGAAACTAGCCTCCGTGGTTGCCAACACATTTTTGATTAGAGAAATCACTGCGGTCATTTGTATGCTGCAGAGCATTGTGTGTTTACTTTGTCAGTTTTCAATTACAGCAAGTCAGCTTGTCCCACTTTCTTAGCCATTCAGCAAACTGTTCAAGATAATGTACTTGTTCATAATTATTTGATAATATTAGATTTGAGAAAGCGTTCAGTGTCTTCTTACCCACAAATTTACTTTTCACATTAACAGTATGCCACCATCTAAAGATGGTGTTTCATTACTGCCCACTAGACGTAGAGCAGCAACATTGTATTCATTAAAAATTGCCGAAGCAAGAGCAGCGTTCTGTCTGTCCATCCTGGAGGGATAGATAGCTTTGTAGGAAAGTTAAGGTGTCAGTTTTGCAATATTCTTGTGCTCACTATAATAGTCTCTTCAAATGAGAAAAGTTAGCATCTGCAGCTCTGGGTTCTCAATAAATGTTTGGCTTGGTTTCAGCAGATCAGTGTAAACTCTGCATTTAACGGCACTATTATCAGCTATTACAGCAACTACTGTGAAGCCACACTCCTGTACAAAATGGATACAGTGGAGTAATTTTAAGCGCAGATCATGAGATGTCATTCTTTTCATAGGTGACAGTTCTATTATTTCCTTGTAGCTCCCCCAAAAAACTAAAGATAATGAGGAAAGCCTGCACTGTTATTGTTGCTTCTTTTGCATTGTCTGCATTGCCAAATAGTTTGCTCCCAGAGTAGGTAATTGCAGGTTTAACATTTATTTCATCCACGCGAACCACATAATCTTTCCTAGCTCAGTCAGTTTGTCTTGTTTCAGTTTCAAGTACTGTGAGATGCTGCCAGTATGAGTAGACAATGACAACAATGAAGTTATATTGTGCGTGTTCTTTGATGGGGTGAGCACACCATACGAGATTTTCTTATAAACCTGTAGCATGCTGGAGATTTAATGACATCATAAACGCGAAACATAGTGTACTACAACTATAACGCTTTTTTTTTTTAACCAGGTTAAAAGTTGCAGCTACTCTGCAAGAAAGTTTATTTGTGTGTCAGTTACTTTATCAGCTGCCCCATTATTGTTCTGCAGTACTTTCTAAAATACTTTCTGCTTCTCCCATTAAATCTGTGAAGCTATTTGGGCATTGAATTTTACTCTAATCCCAGGCATTTTAATGGATTTACAGGAGTTTTAAGTTGTGACCATCTCACAAGTTTATTGTTGTCTACAATCCATTAACGGTCTCTGTCTCTAACCTTTTCATTTTGAACAAAGACTTATATAGTCATATCAAGTAACATCTTGATTGAGAGTTCCTACTGACACTCTCTGTGGTGATTTACAGATGTGTAGGGGATATCAAGGTCGGCCTCTGCTACGATGTAAATCTGTGCAAGCGCAATTTCAACGATTCAAGTAATGAGGTAGATTCGGGAAAATAAAACGCCATGGGTCGTGTTGTAGGGGAGGGGGAACTAGGAAGAGAATAAGTGATAGCAGACAAGTTAAGAGTTGAGCTTCTGAGAAGACGCCCATTCATTTCACACAATAGCTACAACAGTCTTGGAATCCCGTGCACCAAATGCGGAAGGCATTTCTTAACGCGAATGGGCCTTGCTAGTCACACTCGTCATTGACATGGGCTATGATTCCCTTGCCTTCCTATAGCACAAACAAAAATGTCCACATGAAAGGACCCAAAGGTGACCACAAAGTAAATATCTGTAGTAATATGATATAAATGTATGAACACATTTTAAATCGGGAGGGAGGAGGGGACAGAATCACCACTTTACATTAGATTCTTAGACTATGAAAAAGCCTTCGACAGCTTTGATAGGAATCTGTGGGAAAAGCAACAATTAAAGATATGAAATGTAGAGTTCTTCATGAGTGAAAACTCGGAAAAGGTGTGCCACAGGGAAGACTTTTGTCACTGTACCATTTTTACTGGCTAAAGACTGTATTATAAAGACATCACCAGATACCATCACGGGTGGAATTCAGTTCAGTCCTGCAAAACATCTTGGTGATCTGGACTTCGCTGATGATTTATTTTCTTCTATTTCACTTATTTAAGATGCATTAAATATACTTGTGAGAACCTAACAACAAAGTCTAAAAATCCAAAACGAAAAGATAAAATAAATAAGGCAGAGACTATTCAAATGAATTAATGAATGAATTAATCAAGAACTGACCTCATTGCACTCGGGACATTTCCACAAGTGCTCCGTAACCAGCTTAGAGTTGACATGCTAATAGTACCAGCTGCACCTGACTAAAAGTCGGCCTTTGTTTTCCCTGCAATGTTGAATATCTCTCAGAACAACTACTCACTCCCTGTTGAAATAGTCTTTCAGTGTATGGATTCCCTGATTGTTCCTTTGCACTGTCTATTTGATTCTATAGAGCCTTCACCACATCTACTTTCTCATATAGTAGCTTGACGCCGAGAGGAGCGGCAGCAGCCAATCTATAGGCCTGCTCTTTACAAAGCACACTTTAATAGCTTGAACATAAAATCCACAATATGCTCTTGATCTGGATGTTATCAAATGATGCGAGCCACTCTGCACGCAGAGCTCCAGTTTCAATTTACCGAAGCATGTTCTGTAAGTCTGTTACAATAATAAAATGTCGGGAGGTGCTGTTTCCAAGCCATCGAAAAGCTGCCGCTACTGCCTCCAGCTCCATTTTCACGTTGGATGTAGTGACGTTTTACCCGAGGCTCTCTGTTTCCAAGCAGTGTCCATTCACCCTTGCAATAAAACCCCGCCCTCTCTTCTTACTTCTCACTACAGACCCGTCTGTATATTAATGGGAAAATCAGAAACACCATCAGATTGGCAGACTTCTGTCATGGTCCCACTATGGAAAATAAAGGAAGCAAGAGGGAATGTACTAATTACAGAGGAATATCACTTCTCAGTCACACTTGAAAAATGATGCTAAGATCATCGAAAAAAGGCTAAGACCATTGATAGAGTTTCAACTTTCAGAAGCACAGATGGGCTTTCGACGAAACAGAAGTTGCACAGATGCCATTTATACATTGAGACAACTATCAGAGAGGGCAATAGAACATGATAAGACATGGTGGTTGACATTCATAGACCAAGAAAAAGCCTTTGATAGAGTTGACAGGAATATTTTGTGGGAATGTATAGGAAAAATGGGAATCAGCAATCATCTCATTAATATTTGCAAAAGCCTGTACACACGTAGTAAAATGCTGCATAAGATCGAATTCAGGGTTGTCAAAAACTTTTATAGTGAACTCTGGTGTGCGTCAGGGCTGTGTACTATCGCCGCTTCTTTTTATAACATACATGGATACCAAATGTAGCGAAACGAACTTTAATCATGAAGAAGATATTACAGAATTTCTATTCGCCGACGAACAGGTACTCATAGCAGAAAATACGGTATGCCTACAAAACCACCTAAATCAAATTAGTAACAGAGGGGAGGAATATAATATGAAAATAAACACTACGAAGACAGAGATAATGATGATAGGAAGACATAAAGACAATTTAGAATTAAAATAAAAAACAACACCCTGAGACAATCATAATAATTTAAGTATTTGCAAGCAATTTTCACATTCGACGGAAAACTGGGCAGAGAAATTAGCTCCAGATGTGCCAAAGCTAATCAAGTAATGAGGCAACTATCTTCACTGTTGACACACAAGCAAATACATCGGAGTGCTAAAGTGAATCTTATCAGAACTATTTTGTGGTAGCCAACACTATGCTATCAGTGCCAAAAGTGGACACTTACATCCTCCAATGAACGCAAATTTGTGACAACAGAGATTAAATGCCTTAGAAGAGCTGCAGGAGTTTCAAGGAAAGACAGAATACGAAATCATGAAATCAGACGAATGCTAGGAATAAAGCCAGTCTTACAGGTTATAAAAGAACAACGAATGAAGTGGTTTGGATACCTAACAAGAATGCCCTGGTACTATCTGCCACAGCGAGCCACACTAAATGCTTACAACGAGTATAGAGAGTGGAAGACCTCGGAAAATATAGAGTGATGGCATTAAAAACAGCCTCACAGAAATGAACATTAGTCTTAATAGTGCTCTTGACAGAGCTCATCAACGAACATTACATCTCCCCCGACACTTCGATGAGGTACAAGGTGAAAGAGAAGAAGAAGAAAACCTAGGCGTGATTTTTCATTGATTAGTTCTTGCAAAGCTGACTCTCACCAGCTATCCATTCTCTGCACCGTCGGTCCAAGGTAACTGTGTGCAAATCCGTTTTGCCGTAAACAATATAATAGTTATTTAATTTATCATGATGATTTCCCAAACCAAGATGTGTAATCATATACCTGTTCGAATATTAATGCAGATGCAGACGAGAGAACTTAAATAGATATTACAAAATCAATACAAAGGGCAAGAAGATTTTTCATAGCACTAGAAATATGTGGAAGACACGTCACTGGAATTAAAGTAAGGTCCCTTTTTTTCTACGCTTTTAGGCGTATTGGGAATTTAGGGCCAGAACTATATTTTTGTTAGACCAATCAGCAGTTGGTGGGTGTTGTGGTAAGTATCACACTGGACAGGAAATTAATACTAATAATAAATTTCAAAGTGTTAATTCAAAACTCACATCAGTTCTGTTGTATGGAGCAGAGACATCGGAAAACTAAAACAATTACGAATGAACTATAACCACTCAGCCCTTGGGAGTCTATCACACTATTTCATTCCCTCTATTCTGCGCAGGCACCAGTGAGTCTTGGCAGGTAATAAACAAATTTCATTGAATCAAGAGAAAAGAGAAAGAGAAAAGACGTGGTGTTGGATATGCCCCACACACTAAGAGATCTCGAGAACGATATAACTAGAATGTCTTTGCACTGGAACCCAGGGAGGGGGGGGGGGGCATAGAAATAAAGGCAGACTTCCTTTCCTCAAGGGGGAAAAAACACTCACAGAGAGAAGGGATTGATAGCAAAGTTAGAGAAATAGGGAGGACAATGGAATGAGATGCATGCAATCGCCAAGGAAAAGAGGAATTGGCGTGAGTTGACTGAGGGCCTTTACTTTACAGACAGATAAAGGGTAGAAGAAGAGCAGAAGACAACTATCTATCTGAGCCCATAGTATTCTCATAATGTTATCTTAGACATTTGCAAAGGCGCCGGATGATTATTCACTTATTTTATACTACGAAAGTACAACTGGAATTATGGACCCACTTGTAGTCTACATTTGTAGTATATGAGTTCACTTGTTATTACGAGAACTATAGATTCTTCATTTGCTGCTACTACGACTGCTACTGCATCCACCACTACAATCATCACTGCTAACATCTCCAACACCACAGCTGCTACTACCACCACCACTATTATTGCTACTTCTGCTGTTTCCACTAGTATTCATCATCAGTTCTTGTTATGCCTAGTGGCACATGCGGCTTCAGAGAGGGCTTTCCATGCTTTCCTGTCCTGTGCAATCTTCAGTGCAGTTTTCCATGTCAAAGGTGCCGCACTCAGGTCACTTTCCATCGTTGGTCTCCATGTTGTTTTTGGGCGCCCCTGTTTTCTCTTTCCCTCTAGTGTGCATGTGAGAGCTGTTTTGGCAGGTATATCAGAAGTCATTCTCATAATGTGGCCAAGTCATTTCCATCTTCTCTTGGTAATCATACTGTCTAAAGTTTCTTGGTTTGTGGCTTGAAGTAGTTTAGTGTTTGAGATTGTATCTTGCAAGCAAATTTTGATAATTCTACTTAGACATGTGTGGTGGAAGGTGGACAGCTTGTGTGCATCCTTTTTGGTCTTTCTCCAGCATTCCGCTCCATAAAGAAGAACTGGCAAAATGATGCTCTTGTAGAGTCGGAGTTTTGTTCCTCTGCAATAATTGTTGAATTTCCAGATTTGCCTCATCCTTCCAAAAGCAGCTCTAGCTTTGTTCAGGCGTGACTCTATGTCTTCCTCTGTCCCTCCCAGTAGGGACACCAAACTGCCAAGATATGTCATGATCTTAGTTTTCTTTGTATTTATTCTCAGTCCCACCATTTCTGCTGTGGAGTGTAGTCTGTTACATTTCTCTTGTATATATATATATATGTTCATGTTTATGTGATAGGAGTGCTATATCATCTGCAAAATCAAAGTCCTCAAGCATGGTGAATGGAGTCCATCGTATGCCTCTTAATGTCCTGTCTACTGTGTTCTTTAGTATCCAGTCAATCACAAGGTTGAAGAGGAGAGATGACATAACACATCTCTGTCTTACACCTGTCTTTACTGGTAAAGATGTACTGTAATTTTTTTATACTGCAGGAAAAGTCTTTACAGAAGAGAGCAATTATGTTGACTATTTTTTCTGGAATTCCATAACGTCGTAAAATTTTCCACAGACCGTTTCTATGGACGCTGTCAAAAGCTTTCTCAAAACTAGTATTACAATTGCCAATATACTCCTGTTAATTCTATCAGTACTGTTACTACCACCATCACCACATCTACAACCACCACCACTAATACTATCATTTCTGGTGACGCTGTTGCTCTAAGGACTTCTACTTCTTCTGCTGCTGCTTTTTCACTCTCGCTTTCTTCTCCTCAGCATCATACTTTGTCTCCTATCACTGTTGAAATTGTCACACTCTGTTTTACCAATTTAACACACAGCACTTCCATTCCTAGGTATAACTTCTCTCATCTGTTGAACCAGTATGGAGACACAGTTGGTCTTCGAAACAAGTCCGGGCTGACTCTCCTCACATCAAACCTGAACCTCATGAAGCACATTCTTGTGAAGGACTTCAACAACTTTGTGGAAAGATCCGACAATTTAGTGTCCAGTTCTCCTTTTGTAAAATCACTCTTCTTTGCTAAACAAAAGGAATGGAAACGACATCGACAGATTGTTTCCCCTACTTTTAGCAGTGGCAAATTGCGGCATATTGCTTCTACAGTTAACAAATCAGCACAATCCTTGACAGATTACCTGGCAAGCTGTGCTAGGCTCCGTAAATGCGTACCAATAAAGGAAATCACCGCGCAATACACGGGAGAAATAATTGCCAAAACGGCATTTGGACTGGATGCCAATTTTATTGGGCAAGAAGAGCACGAGTTTCTTCATCACGCGAAAACTATGATACCCCCACTCTTGGGGAAAGAACGATTGATCTTTAAACTGTTGGACTGCATACCTTATGCGATCAAAATCTGCAAGAAGATTTTCTATAACGTTCAGTTCTTTGATCCTATCAGCTTGCCAGCCAATGCATATTTTGAAACAATACTAAACGACGCTGTGAGAGAAAGGAAGAAACAACAGCAAGAAGGGATCAAGAAAAGGCATGAGGATTTTCTTGATCTGCTTCTGAAAACTAATGAGGCCGCCAAACAGGGTACAGTTGTAGAAGAAGAAGAAGCAGAAGATGATGATCAGGCAGATACAAAGAAAGCTTGGCAAGGAGCAGTGAGTGCACTGTCGGACGATGAAATTCTCGGCCATTCGATGTTGATAATCTTCGCCGGGATGGAGACGACGGCGACAACGCTGCAGCTATGTCTGTATCAGCTAGCCGTAAACCAAGAGATCCAGGTGGGTGGTTTAGCTATTGTATTTGTCAAGTACTAAAGCATTATTTAAAATGTTGTTCTATAATTAGCAATAGATCAAGGCGATTATATTATAATGATTATCATGCACACATCTTATTACAATTGTCCAGTTATCTAACAGATTTATTGGTGTCCTTTTCACAAATTCTATCAAATAGAAAGGATTCGTTTGTCATGCAAAGTTAACGTAGATTAAATTGTCAGAGTGTTTAATCTTTTGCCAAAACGTTAATTTACAATCTTCATAGATATTCGAAACTCAGGGTCAAGTAATCACAAAAATAGCGGAGTTTTGCTCCTATCGCTGTTTAATTTATGTGATTAGAAAACTGTAATTCCCTTTTCATATTCTACTTTTTCTTAGCGTTCTCCAGTTGTAAACTCCGACGGAATGTTCTGGGTCTTCGCCCAATACCGGACTATTGTCTTAATCAAGAATCTGAGTGTTGTGTGCACGTCTGTTTCACATATCTGGCTTAAATGTGTGCAGACTGGTGGTTCCTTGTGTCTGAGGCAGAGGCACTCTGACTAGGAAGGAATCCCCCTCTCAGCCGACTCTCACAACATGGTTGTGATGGGTTTATTACCTTATAACAGGTCGACGAAACGCATGAGGGGACAACTCTAATTTATACAACTAAAGAGAACTATATTTATGTTATAGATCAACTATAGTTCGTTCAACAATAGATAAACACACAAGCGAGCCATTTTCTCTAAAACTGCCTGTTGTATCGCAATGATTTTTTGCATGCAGCCTTAGAACATCCATGACGTTAAGAAAATATTTTTCTCCACTAAAGAAGATAATCATGTGTATTTTTTTTTTACTATATATATTTTTGTCATGAAACCGTTTCGGTAGACTTTCGGAAGGTTTACTTTCATTAGTTTTAGGAAGTAATACACACTGGTTTAACAGGGAGTCAAGGAAACTAAGCAATTTCAAAATTTTCTCGTGAAAACGCTCTTTTAGTGACCGGAAACCGAAATAAGACAACGATCAAGGTTGTTTAGTCAAAGGCGTATCTACAAATTAGTGCTGAGTTGTTGCGTCATATAGCTCGCTTATTAAAGCTGACAAAGACATCAACTTCAACATGAATTTGAGATGCAAATTAATAACTATGCAGAAGGTTAGCTTTTACTCTTCCAGCACTGCCTCAGAGAATCTAAGATGAGGCATTTATATTGTGATATTCATGACCCAGATAAAAAAAAAAAAGGAAAACGATTGGCGCTTGATCTGGATAGAGCATCATTTAACCGTTGCATTAGACACAGAGCACGCTCAGGTCAAGCAAGTAAGGAAAAGGAAAGTTGACGACTTTGATGTAGATGTCATTAGACGTGAGATCTTAAAAATATTAGAGACGAAATAACTTGTTACTTTCCGAAATCTAAAATTAACATTGAAATCACAACGCAGTATTTACATTTTAAAATATAGTCTGTGGAAAATTGTAAAAGCCACCGGGTTCACGTTCAGGAAAACTGTAGGTGGAAGAAATAGAATTTGTTAAACGCCACATGTGATTGCTAGTCGAAGCAAGTACCTGAGGCAGATCCGTGAGCGACGGAGACAAAGCTATGATATTTGGATGAATCCTGGGTTAATGCTCACCATACTTATGCTAAAGAATGGCAATCAGCAAACGGTGAAACAGTAAAGGAACACTCCAAGCATCAAAGGCCAGCGCATTATACTCACTTATGCAGGTAGCAGTGAAAAAGGACCTATCCATGATGCTGGACTTATTTTCCAATCAAAAAGTACGGATGGTAGGAACTACCACAGTGAAACGAATAGACACATTTTCAGGCACTGGACAGAGAATGATATTCTTACAATTCTGGTGCAGACCATCATGCCTAGTAATGGATAATGCAGATAATCATAATGAGGTATCAAAGGAAGACAACGTACCAACGACATCAAATACAAAAGATCAAATTAGGACATGGCTTGCTAAGGAAAAAGTCAACTTTAACGACACATATTTGAAGGCAGAGTTGTAGCAGCTCCTAAGGAAAGCAAATAAGACAAAGGTGTATGACACTGACAAAATTATTATTGAATACGGCCACACTTCTCTACGACTTCCTGCATATCATTCACACCTCAACCTGATAGAGCTTGTTTGGGCTCAAGTCAAAAGACAAGTTGCCGAAAAGAACAGTGCATTTAAAATGTGTGATTCTGATGTGTGTTCTGACACGTACGTCTCTCTCAACAATAGACATTCATTTCTGGAAAACGTGTTTTGAACATGTGCTCTGAGAGGAAGACGAGTACTGGCACCGAGATGAATTACACTTTGTTCAGCCAGTAACAATTATCAACCTTCTGGGATAGTCAGATTGAGAATGATTCAAACCATTTTTTCGAAGAGTAGTTGAATATCGTCAACCCGTAAGGTAACAAATATATTTCCATATCCAAATGTATTAACCATAATACAATTTGCTGTGCAGTTAAGATACACAGTGGGGTCTAATGGTGACTGAAGGTAAGTACCAATTGTTGCATACTGGGGACATGTTGACAGGTGAACAAGGCAGACAGAGTGGATGGATCTGCACCACTAGGTGGTGAGTTGATACATGACAAGGCAGATATACCAATGCCCTTTGGGAACAAGTAGAAGAAAAAATAAATTATCATGGCCTGGAGGGGATGACACACTTGGGTGTGGCCAGAGGGCCTGGTCGGCACACTACACTCAGAGGAATGGCAAGATGGACACATAATCAGACTGCGTCCGGTACCATTAGTATTGGAACTCTGCTCGGGAGCTGAAGATGAGGACAGAGCACATATGGGAATGTACCGAGTGTTGTGACGTCTTTCTTGACTGAGCTCAACTCTGTTGAACATAAATGACAACAAACAAATTTAGTTCACTTTTCAATGTATTAGGAAGACATGCCTCTGACACACACAAAAATTTTTTTACTGTAAAATCTAAAAGTTCACTCCACTTATTTACAACGGTTAAAAGAAAATCAAAGAAATTGGCTGTTTTTCAGCATCCTGTGCATCTATAGACTAAAGAAAACCACTATTTTTGCGTCATGGATATTCTAAGTCTGCATGCAAAAAATCGTTGCGATCTTACAGCCAGTTTTTGAGAAAATTGCTTGCAAGTATGTTCATGAGATGTTGAACGATGTTCCTTCAGGCGGCTTGACGGTCAGACAATTCCAAATATTATTTAGATATCGCTTATTATTTTCGGCACATGCCATCAAAACTAAGAAAGAAGAGAGAAAGAAAATCAAAACAGTGACTGTCGTATGGCAGTTTTGTCGCGCACCTTACTTACAGGATATTTTCACAAATCCCTCAGGTGCTCTGAGACAGGAGAGTTTTGAATGGTGGCTCTCGTTCGTCTAGAGGCCTAACCCTCGGTTCAAACTTTCCATTCAACCTGTCTCAGGGATGAGGTGACACGAGCTCTGACTCCACAGGGTTTTTATGAACACTTGGGTACCTCTCGGCCAGACGTCCTCACCACTAATTGCCCCCAGACTGGAAAAAAACAAGTCCAGTCGAACAAATAATCAACAGCGAATTTGACAAGACAACACTGCCTCTCTGAATAAGACAATAAAATTCAGTAACACGAAACTTTTCTATCAACTAGAAGACTACTGAATTTTCATCACGATTGTAATTAATTTACTATAACAAAGTTAAGGGAAACCGTAGCGAAGAAATAAAAAAGAACGATCACAACTTTAAAATCTAACACAAGAGAAAGAATTCCTCTAAATAGACCTATACACTATCATGTTCATCACGGCGAAGGAGAAAACATGACCATGAAGGCACATTTGGAGACGAGTTATCTTAGTCTGCCACGTCACTTATCTGATCAGATCTCGTAGCTCCTCAGCGTCTCAGAGTGGAGTAATACGCCACCGTACTTTACTGCACGGTTACACAGGAATGAATCAGCTTCTCCGGATGCCGAAAAGGAAACTCTCTCTGCCGTACTTCCACGACCACACATGAACGAATCACACATGAATCGAGGATCAGCTTCACCGGAAAAACGATCCAGGTGCGGATCTCAAGTCACTATTGAGGGACTCCGGCACCCGTGTCGTCCGCACATTCAACACCGTAATTCAGCATACGTAAAACGTTTTACTGGGTCGTGGCAGTTGGAACCACACTATCAAACGTAGACACTTGTTGGATCTTCAGAAAATCCTGAAAAACGTAAAGTAACAGACATGAGCGAACCCGTACTCAACGTACCTATTTAATCAAGGTCCTTACTTCCTCCAAATGCTCAGATATATTTTAGGTTATTCCAAACCATGAAGGTTGGTTACCTCAATCCTAGAATCCTTTTTGTTTCCTAGAGTGAGCACTAGATCATTAACTCGAAGAGTTCCGGGATTCAGTTCTGTGGCAAAGGTTAGACAGATCCCCATTATTTACCGTTCCTTCTAACGTAGAAAATAAGGGATCGGCGATGAAGTCAAAACCAAGGCCTACTGAAATATGTTATGAAAACAATTCGACAGTCGAAGCTTGTTGTGGTTACGAAATCACCTAGCAACAGCGGACATGACGTCATGTCTGCCCATAAGCTTCTTGTCGTTCAAAACCATTCAGAGACTTACCAAGTTCTGATACCGAATACTAGCAAATAATTAACGATACAAAGTTATCAATACTACAAACCCACTCCAGATATGTAGATTGATTGAATTGAAAGGTTTTAAAAGGCCATTTCAAAGCATTCTGCGAGAAATGTCAACCGAAAGTGCATTCCGATCTGGAGCTCCTTTCGCCACCTTCCTTGGCAAGAATCGTAGGAAAACAGATTCGCATTATCCAGCTGCTGACCTTACTTACCTACATCACAGACACTATGAACTCAAATATTCAATTAAAAAGTCCTTAAGAAAACTCACCCATTGTAAATAAAAAAGAGAACAAGGAATCTTGTCTGTATAACGGTCAATTGGCGAGACACAAGGAAAAACGCCTGCCTCCAAGACCGGACTGTAGAGAGTGACGCACACAAACACGTCCCCTAACAACAGCAGTTAGCGTACGAATCGCGCTCACTAATGCAGTGCAGTGGTCAGACAATTTATTTAGAATAGGCGTAGAAAAGGCGTCCTAACATTTAATTCGACACTCAAAGCCTAAAAGAGTCATTATCAAAGGGTTTTATATGGATTTTTCCTATCAGGACTCCCCCACAACAAACGAACTATCTAACTATGCTTGGCCTATTCTATTACATAGTTACGATGACGAGTTTAGGGTGGTCAGCTATATGGACCTTCCTGCTGTGGCAGATGTGTGGATGCTGTCATGCGACAGAAATATAAGAACTGATTAATTGATTTCCCGTAAGAAGAAATGGGAAATTGGGTTTCGAGATACAGTCTTTTCGAAATACGAACTTTTCGAGATACAAACTTTTGAAGATACAAACTTTTGGAGACACAAACCTTTGGTGATACAAACTTTTGGAGACACAAACTTTTGGAGATACAAACTTTTGGAGATACAAACTTTTGGTGATACAAACTTTTGGAGACACAAACTTTTGGAGATACAAACTTTTGGAGATACACACTTTTGGAGATACAAACTTTTGGAGATACAAACTTTTAGAGATACAAACTTTTAGAGACACAAACTTTTGGAGATACAAAGTTTTGAAGATACAAACTTTTGGAGATAAAACATTTTCGGAGATACAAACGTTTGGAGATACAAACTTTTAGAGATACAAGTGAAAGTCAGAGACGAATAAAAGTGTATGTGGCTAGGTATATCTGGTAGTATGAGTCGATCGACCGTGCGATCCAAAGTTAAGAACACTTTTCACACGCACACACATACATAGGTACATCCACAGCAACACATAGACACCACATACACACACACCCACACCATTAGACGTTTCGAGTGTCTGCCATGATATTACAGTTACTGTATTAACATATCTTCCAGGAGAGAGTACACCAAGAAATTCAAGAGGTTGTCAGTTCGCAGGATCCTTCCCAAGAAGAACTGAGCGAGCTTCACTACGTTGAACAGGTTATCAACGAAACCTTGCGTTTACACCCACCAGCACCTCTGGTCAACAGGCGAGCTCTGGAAACCAGAACATACGACGGAGTTACGATACCCAAAGGCGCAGCTGTGATTCTCCCTTACTATCACATTATGACAGATCCCAAGTTGTATCCTGACCCCCTGACATTCAACCCAGAGCGATTTTCTCCAGAACAGAAAGATCAAAAGAGATACCATGGCTTTCATCGCGTTTGGTCATGGTCCGAGACAATGTTTGGGAATGAGGTTGGCTTATCTGGAGCTGAAGGTGGCCTTAGTGCACATCCTGAGAAAGGTTAAAGTTATACTAAACAAAAGCACAGTGCCGACGTTGGGTGAAAAGATTAAGTTTACACCGCAGGGTTTGTTGATTCCGGTAAAACCAATTATGCTGATGTTTGAGCTCAGAGGCTAAAAGTTGGCCCAATAGGATGGTTCGCATTATTTCTCACATAGCTTCATTTGTTTAGTTTTTGATGTTCGTGTTGTTACTCAGAATCTATTGAATTTTTAATCTTTACAGCGCAATGGCATCTAAAGAGAGCATTAGTTTTATGTGTATGGTTCAAATACATAAGATTCTATCTGGATTATGTACTGAACATTCTTTGGACAGCTTGTTCTCCTTCTTCATGAGCTATCAGAGAGTTTCGATTCCAGTGGTGCCAGTTTGTATGTCCGTCTGTCTGATATCCTGGTCACTGCTAGCTGTACCGTTCTGTTTAGACCATTATGATCTATTGGCATTTCTGCACTGTTTACTTGGTCACAAAAAGGCTTGCCAACATTTATATAGCTTGTCAAGGCATCAGTTCATCTCCCGATGCTGCAAAATCAACAGATCTGTTGCTTATTCGTTTCCTTTTCACATCTGCATTACTGGGAGAAAAAAAATGTGTTGCTAAAAGATATACATAATTGCCAAAAAATGTGTTGCCAAAAGATACAAACATCTGCCAATGTGTTGAGTACTGATACGGCGAACTTAGCAAAATAGGACGTGCTCTCTCTACGATTAAACACAGATATTTCGAAATGATTGCATTTTTCTTTAAAGAGTTAAATGTCAAGGTTCATGTTTTACAGCCGCATGCAAACGTACTGATGGCTAGTTAACTAGAAGAGAATGAAGTTAATCATCAACTGAGACAGCTCGTTTCCTTTTCGTTCACAGGACTGCAGTAAACTGACTGACTGACTGACTTTCTACACCACCAGGACATCACACAGGCGATAAACACCCGATGACACAATGCGCCACCATGTGGTTGAGGATCACCGTGGAGAGGTCCCAGAAACCGCGTTCAGCCTTTAGGCCATATTTATGGCCAGGCTATATTGCGGCCCCTGGCAAGAGCCAGAGCAGGGCTTCAAATAACGAAAAAGTGCATCCCAAATAGGACGGCTAGATTTACTTACAGCAGTAAGCAGTTATACTTGCTGTTTTTCACAGTAACTTAACTATAACTTTCCTGAAGGTTGAACAGGGAATAGGGGTCTGACCGACGCCTTCGAAAATTACTAAAGTTTGGCCATGGTCTGACGCTATTAATCCGCCATCTAAATTGTCTGTTTTGAAGTCGCCAGAGTGGTCGAACCACTAGGCAGCAGCAGTTGAAAAGGGAGTGGTGAATTGGGTGGGGGTGGAAAAAAAAGGGAGGGGGGGTGGGAGGCGGTGATGGGGGGATAGACTGACACACAAGGTTCGGGCAAACGTTATGAGCAACAAGGGAGCAAACTCTGGTCAAAATATATTTTAATATGATTTATTATAGTTATGTCCCATCCTAGAAGTACTTAAACAGTACAAGGACAAATATAAAACCGAACAAAAAGACTGTCAGCAAGCTTCACAATATAAAAAATTTAAAAAACACACAGACAAAACGTAAACATTGCAGCTATGAAGCCTTTATCAGCACATACATAAATTAGACAATACTACACAAATACACAGTATCACTTATCTTTGAATCTCGGAACACCCAGGTCGATGTCAAAACTCGACAGTACAAAACAGTTTATTAGTTGTTAATATAGTTGCACCTGGAAACATATATTCTAAAAGCAGTGGTTTTCAGCTTGTTCTGAATTTCAGATGGCGTTCCGTTTGCATATAGGGCAGGACTCTCGTGCCGCATCCCCCACCTTAAACATGCATGTGATGATTGACACCGTTTTGTCTTGACGATATCTGCTATTTTTGGTCTGATGTTTGACATGGTGCAATGAATTTACTAGTAAACCGTCCCAAGAAGAGACGCATACTGTCGGGTTTTTTTAAACTCCACTCCTGTTGTTGCTGGGAGCCCGAATAGAACCTATGGGTTCAACAGGATTTCTCGGAAAGGTCCCCGGGTGATCCTCATCCAAATGGTGGCACTTTGTGTCACCGGGTAGTTATTGCTCGATTGCATGTCCCAGTGGTTTTGAACATCAATCAGTCAATGATACAATGAACATCTATCTTAACTTCAGGCTGGTAGCGCTGTTTTGTGTACAGGAGTGTCATAGCTAAACATCCGCATTCACGAAGATATGTGGAACAAAATGGCAAAAAAAGATTTATAGCTAATTTGTCCACATGAGGGTACATTACAAAATGCTGCAAATGAAACTAAAAATCCAGGCATGAAAGAGGTAGAACCGTCTTTCGTCCTTGGAATACACTTTGTTCAGTTGATTTTTTTTAAATTAGAGTGTTAGTCTTTCCTCTTGAACAGAGGGTGGTGCACAAGCAGGGCTGAGGTCAAAGCTCTCCATGTCAGGCGGTTCGTTGCCACCTGTTTTAGGTCTCAGATGTTCATTTCTTTTCCCTTCCAGTGTCCATATGAGGGCTTGATGGGGAAGTCTGGTCTTATTCATCCTGAGTGCATAACCGATGTAGTTCTAGACTGTTGCAGTATATCAATGTCAAAAAAGGAATGCCTTTCTAGTTAACTTCTAAGGTCAGTCATCAAATGATAGATCGAAAAATAGAGATTTAACTCCTCTACCAGAAAGTTCAAATGTGACTGAATTTTAACTTCAAGTTTATTAATTTCCCACCTTTTATTTACCCCTATTTCACTAAAACGAAAAGTTTTTGGATAATCAAAATTACCAAAGCCGTCAGTTTGAAAATTTCTTGAAACCTTCAGCCTCCTAACCAATTCTGTCGGGGGAAAGAGGGAGGGGGAGGGGGGGGGTGAAGGCCTAAGCCCACCTAATAATTTGAATTCGGACTAATCATGTAGTGACATTTTCTTCAACAGTATGTATTGATAAATGTAACTGTATGTTAAGGAATATTAATAATTTTGTGCTAAAGATCATCATCATGTAGCAGGTCATTTGCAGAAAGTCGCTCTCATCACAGTCTGCCTAAAAGAAACTCGGTCTCTTGCCAGTTCTCCTGCCTCATGCACTTTCACACTCAATGAGTCACTTATATCCTGTGCCCATCTTCTTGATATGACTAAAATGTTTCAGCATTTTGTGCTAAATAGAAAATGAATATATTAATACAACTGTATTCATATTAATTAACCCCCCCCCCCAACTCCCTCCCTCCCATCCCTCCCTCCCATCCCCCCTCCCTTCAATCCCTCCCTCCCATCCCTCCATCCCTCCCCTCCCTCCCTCCCATCCCTCCCTCCCTCCCTCCCCTCCCTCCCCTCCGTCCCTCCCATCCCTCCCTCCCATCCCTCCCTTCCATCCCTCCCTCCCATCCCTCCCTCCCATCCCTCCCTCCCCCTTTTAAACAATATTCTAGATAATTTCTATGCATGGTTTAGCCCCACAAATTTTCTTAATTTATTGGGCTCTGAGCATCAAACCCCCCACCCCCTCCCCCACTCTTCTCCCATGTCTGGGGGCTAAAGAACCCTGCCCTCAATTTTTGTCCTGAAAATGTGTAAGGTGGAGGTGGAGAGGGGAAAGCCCACCTATTGTTTTCTTTGTGCCGGTGCGCCTGAATGATTACGTTCTTGAGAAGTTAATCAAGTCTTATTTTGGTCTGTCGTACTTTTCACATTATATATTATGCCGAGCATTGTGCAAGCTATTCCAAATGGCAAAAGTTAATTCAACATCTGCTGGTAATGAATCAACGAATCAACAAACCAAGGCTGCTGAAATGAGATTAAACGTGGCAAACGATAAGATAGCAACCGGAGAGAATTGTAGCGGGGTGGGGTGGGGGAGGGGGCGGGTGGGGTGGGGGAGGGGGCGGGTGGGGTGGGAGGGGCTGAAGACTTACGAACACCCTAATGTGCCTCCCTTGAGATGTAATGCCTCCGAATATTTGTATGGTTTCAGTGGAAGCAAACTGCACGAAACAAACAAGAAAGGCTGATTTATTTTACTGATAAAAATGTCTTAAAATAGTGTGTTTGTCTCATTGTTTGGCTATTTTCTGCACATTATCACTTCTACAATTCCCATTAAATCCTGGGGATTTTGTTGGTGTATTTACGAACGTTTTTATTTCCCCTGTCTCAGAGACTGCTCTGTCAGTTTATGGAAATTCAAGGTCATCCTGGCTGTTTTTATGTAAAAAAGGAAGTAAACGACCCTTTTCCACACAGGGCTGTGTCAGTCTGGAAGCCAACATCATTATTGAAAAAAAAAAAAAAACCGGGCTTCTTTTGGATTCAAACCGACGCCCTTGAGATCGGCAGGCAAGCCGCCAGCTGCGACATCATGGCTGCTCTAAGTGTTCGTGTAGCGAGTAGTAAAAGTAATGGATCATTTTAACGACTGTGGTTCATCGGTAGAATGAGTATAATATCTTAAGTTGAAAGTGGGATATGCAAATAATACTGTGAGCTAAAAACGAGACATCTAACAAATATTTTAAGCTAAAAACTGGAAATACAACTAATATTTTTAGGGAAAATTGCGACATTCAGCCAATATTTTAAGCTGAATGCGCAATGTTGCATGCTGAATGTTGAATTAAGAATCGCCATCACAGAACTCGGGACACCGCCATAAGTGCTCCGTCTCCATCTCCAACAGCAAGCGAAGAGTTAAAATTCAGATGGTACCAGTGACTGTCTGATTGTATATCCGTCTCGCCTTTCGCCTGAGTGTCGAGCGTCGGCCAGATCCACTTGCAACTCCTCGCAGTGCCATTCCCCTCAGACAGTAGTGATCTATCTGTTCCTCGGCACTGTTCACTCGCTCACAGAAGGCCCTCACAACATCCAGCTTGTCATACATCAGTCCACCACCAAGTGATGCAGAACCGGCCAATCTATCTGTCTGCTCATTTTCCAACACTGGCATGACCCGGAGAAAATATCCAAAGATTGCTAACGCATCCCCCCCCCCCCGACCTCCAAAGTGATGCTTGCCACTCTGCACGGAGCATACCTGTCCCCACCTTTCTCAGCATGCCAGCGGAAGGCAGCAGTGACTGCGTCCCCCTCT